CTACTACCACTACTACTACTACTACTACTACTACTACTACTGCTACTACTACGACGACGACTACTACTATTACTACTACTACTACTACTACTACTACTACTACTACTACTACTACTACTACTACTACCACTACTACTTCTACTTCTACTTCTACTTATACTTCTACTTCTACTTCTACTTCTACTTATACTCATACTTCTACTTATACTTATACTTCTACTTCTACTTCTACTTCTACTACTACTACTACTACTACTACTACTACTACTACTACTACTACTACTACTACTACTACTACTACTACTACTACTACTACTACTACTATTACTTACACCACTACTGCGACCACTACTACTACCACTACGAATACCAACAGAAAAACACTTGTAGCGGTAGCAATTAGCAGCAGTGGCCGTAGCAGTAGCAGCAGTAGCAGTAGCAGTAGTACTCAGCAGTAGTCCGCCACGCGCGCGCCAGAGGCGCGAGAGCGGCAGGCGGGGGAAGTCAGGCGGCCTCGCGGGGCAGGACCACCTGGCCCGCAACGCTGTACTCCATGATGTCGCGAAGGGCTGCGCGGGGGGGAGAATTCGGAGGGGGGCGAGGAGGAAGGGAAGGAGGGAGGCTGCGACGCGCGGCCTCGCTGCGTGCGCGCCCGACTTTCGGTGAGGCGTATCCTGGACGGGCGGCGCAACGAGCCCGAGACTCGCCCACGACTCATCCGCCAGGAGGGAGGTAGCGTCGACGGCGACGGCGACGAGCAGCAGCAGCAGCGGCAGCGGCCGCGGCGGCAGCAGCAGCCGTGTCGGCGGCGGCCACGGCGGTGGGCAGCAGCAGCAGCAGCAGCAGCAGCAGCAGCAGAAGGCCCGCTCAGGGCGGCGGGCGACCAGCTGTCAGCAGGAAGCGCCACAGCTTGGAGCTGCTCAGGTCCTCGCCGCGCAGCCGGGCGGCAAACTCGGACCTGCGCCGTGGCGGCGGCGGAGGGTGTGCAGCAAGGCGACAATGCAGAGTGCCGTGTGCCGTTGGTTGGGGGGAGGATCGCGCTCCACCGTGCGCCCAGTCTTCAGCAAGCCAGCGGCTGAGCACAGCGCATCGATGGCCGCTCCAGCTCTTGGCCTCCTCGGTCCCGAGCGGGCGGCTGCGGCGCAGCACTGGGCGCGCGCCAGGCAGCGGCGAGGAAGAAGACGCGTGCGGCGGGGTGACAGGTGGGAGCCGCACGAATATACGGCAGGCTCTGGCCGGATGCACGGATGTACGAATGTACGACTGCACAAATGCACGAATGTACAAACGAATGCGCGAATATACGAATGCACGAATGCACGAATGTACGAACGAATGAAAAAATGCACGTTTGCACGAATGCACGAATGCAAGAATGCACGAATGCACGAATGCACGAATGTACGAATGTACGAGTGCACGCATGCCCGAATGCACGAATGTACGAATATACGAATGTACGAATATACGAATGTACGAATATACCAAGGTACGAATGTACGAAGGCACGAATGTACGCATGTATGGCGGGGTGAGAGCTGGGAGCCGCACGAATGTACGAATGTACGCGCGAACGTACGAAGCAGGAAGGGGAAGTAGACTGGGTCGCCGCCCGCCCCCCGAGGACGAAGGAACAGGGAAAGCCTCCTCCGGGTGAGGGCTCCCCATCCGACGGCGGCGAGATCTGTCCGTGCCCACTGCCCCTGGCCAGGCCCATCCTGGGACCCGGGAGCGGTGAACGGCAGCCTCGAGTCGTGACGACCCCGGCGTTGGCTTCCGACACCGCGCGGATCTCTCAGTCCTGAGCGGGGGAGGAGGAGGAGGAGGAGGAGGAGGAGGAGGAGGAGGAGGAGGAGGAGGAAGAGGAGGAGGAGGAGGAGTACGAGGCGGGAGGAGGAGGAGGAGGGGGAGGAGGAGGAGGAGGAGAAGAAGGAGGAGGAGCGAGTCGTTCCATGTTGGCCGATCCCGGGCCACCAGCGGCGCTCGACCTGGAGCGCCCGCGCTGGGGCCGCCGCTGGGTCGACGCGACACGCGCCGGCCGGACACTGAAGTATGCGTACCTCGCCGGCGCCTCACGCTCGCGGGCCTACCCTGGGGAGTGTCCCCCATACTTTGCGCGAGGGTGGCTGCGAGTATGATATCCTGGTCATTCACATGCCCCCGAACGGTGCAGAGTGCCGTGTGAGGAGGAGGAGGAGGAGGAGGAGGAGGAGGAGGAGGAGGAGGAGGAGGAGTCGAGACTAATCGAGACGAGTCGATCGCATGGGGTTTGAAGTGCAACCTCGTGGGCCGATTTCCGACCACAGACCTCCGACGTCGCGATTGGTTCAAAATGTGGCCTTTTGAGCCCTCGACACGATCCCCGCGACTGCTCTCCTACGGCAGCCCCGGGACGTGCTGAGGCCTCTGAAGATTCCAGAGGCCTCAAACGTCCACAGACTTCCAAGAACCTCGATCCTCCTCCTCCTCCTCCTCCTCCTCCTCCTCCTCCTCCTCCTCCTCCTCCTCCTCCTCCTCAATGTCCTCCTGCTCCTCCTCCTCCTCCTCCTCCTCCTCCTCCTCCTCAGCCTCATCAGCATCATCATCATCATCATCATCATCATCATCATCATCATCATCATCATCATCATCATCATCATCATCATCATCATCATCATCATCATCATCATCATCATCATCATTGTCATCATCATCAGCATCAGCATCAGCATCAGCATCAGCATCAGCATCATCATCATCATCATCATCATCATCATCATCATCATCATCATCATCATCATCATCATAAACAGCATCATCACCATCATCATCATCATCATCATCATCATCCTCATCCTCATCATCATCCTCATCATTAGCATCATCCTCATCCTAATAATCATCTTCTTCCTCCTCATCCTCCTCCTCATCACCATCGTCATCATCATCAGCATCGTCATCATCACCATCATCAGCAGCAGCAACATCTTAGCAGCATCGTCATCATCATCAGCTCCACATCCTCATCAGCATCATCAGCATCATCATCAGCATCGTCAGCATCATCAGCATAATCATCACCACCACCAGCATCATCATCAGCATCAGCATCATCATCATCAGCAGTATCAGCATCATCAGCATCATCAGCATCATCATCATCATCATCATCATCATCATCATCATACGCTTCCTCCTCCTTCTCCTCCCTTCCCATCCTCATACTTGCTCCTCATCCTCCTCATCAGCATTAGCATCAGCAGCAACAGCAACATCATCATCATCCTCATCCTCAGTATTATCCTCATCCTCATTCATCGTCTCCCCATCCGCATCCTCATCCTCATCCTCCTCACCATCAGAATCATCATAATCGCCAACAATACGTTTCTTTCTACATAACTCCTCCCCTTACACAACCAGGCTTGTCGGTAATGCAGGCTGAGCGTTTCGCCCGAGACTTCCTCGCCGAGTACGGCCCTGAGGCTTGAGATCGCCAGCGGGTACACGGAGGAAGGCTGTCAATTTCAAAAAATGTGGCTCTTGTCATGGCACCGCGCAACATCTGCCGTGAGTGGTTCCAACACTGCCAAAAATAAGCAGACCGTCATCAGCATGTGAATCTAGCCGCAGCGCCGCGCACGTTCGTCCTAGAAATGTCCAGCAGCTGCAAGGGTAGAGAGCAGCTCCTTTCCGAAATAGGGCTGTCGCTTGAGACATCCCCCACCTGCACAACCAAACACGTACATCCGCGCATGCAAGGCGTCTTTGCTAACTTGAGCTCTCGCTTGAAAACTGCATCGCCAAATACGGCCACTGCCTCAGGAATGTGCAAGAGCTTCGCGGATGGAGGACGGATCCTTTGCAAAACGGGGCGGTCGATGCACAGTTCCTTGAGCTGTATGGCCATGACCATTCACATTACATTGCTCACGGCTGTGAGGATGTAGGGCACTTCTCCTCATCCTCCTCCCCCTCCTCCTCCTCGTCATCGTCCTCCTCCTCTTCCTCCTCCTCCTCCTCCTCCTTTCCTCGTGGCTGTAAGGATGCAAGGCAGTTCCTTTTCAAACGGGGCTCTCGCCTGAATGGTAGGCCCACGGGGCGCGCGTCTGTCCAGGGGGAGGGGGCTGCCCACAGTACGAAAAGCATGCCTGCAGAGATGTACGAGGGGGGCGACCTGGGGCGAGAGGGCGGATTGCAACCCCGTCGCTGCATCATTGGCTTGCCCTGGTCCACATCCTCCTCCCCCTGACCATTCAGGCGAGGATCCCGTTTTGAAAATGAACTGCCCTGCATCTTCATAGCCATGAGGAATGTGAAGGGGTACGACCATACAACTCAAGGAACTGTGCAGCGAGGGTCCCGTTTTGCAAAGGATCCCTCCTCCATCCGCCACTGTGCAGTGTGAGCGTTGAGGCGACGAAGAATACCAAGGGCTGCCTGGAAAGGGTTCTTGCATTTGAACAACGGACCCCCCCTACGCCCCCCTCTATCGAAGCTCCCTAGGCCACGATCCCACGTAAAAAAGCTGTCGGTCCGCGTTCCGATGCGTTAAGGCGGCCCAGACAAGATGGCGCCCAGGCCGCCAAGGCAGCCAAGGCCGCCAAGCTGCTCCGAAGACGGCCCAAGATGACTCCAAGGCGACCCAAGATGGCCCCAAGGCGGCCCATGATGCCCCCAAGAGTGCCTCGAGAGGACCCCAAGCTGGGCCCGAAGAAGCCCAACCTCATTGATGCCCCATTGGTATTTGACGAATGTCCGCATTCTCGCCTTCTCGGGCTTCCGTCAGCTCAAGGTGGCCCAAGAAGCATCCAGGATGGCTGCGAGAGACCCACATGAGATCTCCAATGGCCCAAGGAGGCTCCATCGTGGCCCAAGAGGCCCCCAAGACGGTCCCAAGCTGGCCGTGGAGGGCCTCTGGGGGGGGGGGGGGGGGCAATACAGACTCAGAAGGCCCCTCGATGGCCCAAGACGGCGCCAAGACGGCCCCACGACGGCCCCACGACGCCCTCCAAACGGCCAAGAGGGCCCCAGACGGCCCAAGAGAGCCCCAAAACGGCCCCAGATGGTCCCAAGACGGCCCAAGAGGGAAGGCACCAAGGGTCCAGACTGCCCCGCAGGAGCAAAGGCCAGCCCCACGACAGCCCAAATGAGGTCCATGAAAGCCCCTCGAGAAGTGAAGACGAACGGTACCAAAACTGGCGACTATACTAGTATGCCTCATCATCAGCATCATCAACATAATCAGCATAATCATCATCATCATCCTCATCATCATCATCATCATCATCATCATCATCATCATCATCATCATCATCAGCATCAGCATCAGCATCAGCGTCAGCATCAGCATCATCACCACCACCACCACCATCATCATCATCATCATCATCATCATCATCAGCATCATCATCCTCAGCCTCCTCATCAGCATCATCATCATCATCGTCATCATCAGCAGCAGCATCAGCAGCATCAGCATCATCATCAGCATCAGCATCAGCATAATCATCATCATCATCAGCAGCAGCAGCAGCCTCATCATCATCATCATCATCATCATCATCATCAGCATCATCATCCTAATCATCATCATCACCATCGTCATCATCATCAGCATCAACATCAGCATCCACATCCTCCTCCGATTCCTCCTCATATTCCTCCTCCTCACCTTCCTCATCCCCCTCCTCATGCTACTCGTCGTCGTCATCATCATCAACGTCAGCAGCATCATCAGCAGCATCGTGATCAACATCACCAGCATTATTACCATCAGCATCCGCATCATCAGCATCAGCATCATCAGCAATGCCATCAGCGTCAGCATCTGCATCATCAGCATCAGCATCATCAGCAGCAGCAGCATCATCAGCATCCTCATCCTCCTCATCCTCACCATCATCAACCTCATCAGCATCATCATCATCATCAGCAGCAGCAACAGCATCATCATCATCATCATCAGCATCATCGTCATCAGCAGCATCAGCATCAGCATCATCATCGTCATCATCGTCATCATCATCAGCATCATCATCGACACCGTCATCATCATCATCATCATCATCATCATCATCATCATCATCATCAGCATCATCATCATCATCGGCATCGTCATCATCATCAGCGTCATCATCAGCATCAGCATTACCATCAGCATCATCAACCTCATCACCATCATCAGCCGCAACAGCAGCAGCAGTCGCTGACGCAACAGCCGCAGCCCCAGCATCATCAGCGTCAGCGTCAACAAAATCGTCACGATCATCACCATCACCATCATCACCACCAACATCACCAGAATCAGCAGCAGCAGCAGCAGCAGCGGAACCGTCATCATCATCGTCAGCAACAGCAGCGCCTCATCACCACCACCAGCACCACCAGCATCGTCATCCTCATCATCAGCATCGTCATCATCATCAGCATCGTCATCCTCATCGTCAGCATCATCAGCAGCAGCATCAGCATCAGCATCAGCATCATCAGCATCGGCATCATCAGCGTGGTCAGAATCATCATCATAAACATCATCATCACCCTCATCCTCATCATCATCCTCAACCTCATCCTCATCACCAGCATCACCATCATCATCAGCAGCATCATCGCAA